GGTGGGTGGGGTGGGGGGGGGGGGTGGGGGGGGGGGGGGGGGGGGGGGGAGAAAGGGTTACAGGCTTTGCCTTTGAGGAGGAATATGTTGAAATTCCTCCAATTGCCATTGACAATGATCAGGTTTCTATCCCTGATATTGTTCAAGAAGCAACTCTGGATCAAGACAATGTCATACCTCCCTCTCAAGATCAACAATTGTTCTAGAAGAACAAACTCTACAGTCTCAAGAACCAATGCCATTAAGAAGATCCACTAGAGAGAGGAGAAGTGCGGTTTCGAATGATTACATCGTATTTCTTCAAGAACATGAAGTTGACATTGGAATGGTGAAAGATGATCCAATCAACTTCCGTCAAGCCATGGAAAGTTCTAACTCTCAAAAGTGGCTCGATGCTATGAATGAAGAGATAAAGTCCATAAAGGACAATGACGTATGTGACCTCGTTCCATTGCCTGAAGGTGCGAAACTCATTGGTTGCAAATGGATATTTAAGACCAAGAGGGATTCAAAAGGTGATGTAGAGAGGTATAAGACTCGTCTTGTCGCAAAGGGTTTTACACAGAAAGAAGGCATCGATTATAAAGAGACTTTCTCTCCGATTTCTTCGAAAGACTCTTTCAGGACTATAATGACATTGGTAGCGCATTTCGATCTTGAGCTACATCAGATGGATGTTAAGATAGCGTTTCTCAATGGTGACATTGATGAAACAATTTATATGGTACAACTAGAAAACTTTGTATCGGACGATGCAAAGCAAATGGTTTGTAAATTAAAGAAATCCATCTATGGACTCAAACAGGCGTCTCGTCAATGGTATTACAAGTTTCATCAGGTGATCATCTCATTTGGTTTTGAGATGAATTTGGTTGATGATTATATATACCACAAGTTCAGTGGGAGCAAGTATATTTTTCTGATTTTATATGTCGATGACATATTGCTTGCCAGCAACGATATTGGTTTATTGCACGAAACAAAGAGATTTCTAGCAAAGAACTTTGAGATGAAAGATCTTGGTGATGCCTCTTTTGTATTAGGAATTTAGATACACCGAGATCGTTCTCGGGGTATTCTTGGATTATCACAAAAGAGTTATATCAAAAAGGTACTTAAAAGATATGGCATGCAAGATTGTAAACCATGTGACACCCCTGTGGCTAAAGGAGACAAGTTCAGCTTAAGTCAGTGTCCTAAAAATGACTTGAAAATTAAAAAAGTGTAGAAGATTCCTTATTCCTCAGCTATAGGGAGTCTGATGTATGCTCAGGTTTATACACGTCCGGATATAGCGTACATCGTTTGGATGCTAGGGAGATATTTAAGTAACCCGGGAATAGATCATTGAAAAGCAGCCAAACGGGTCATGCGGTATTTACAGAGAATAAAAGACTATATGCTCACATACAGGAGATCGGATCGGTTGGTGATCATCGGTTATTCTGATTCCGATTTCGCGGGATGCCAAGATAGTAGCAAATCCACTTCAGGCTATATTTACTTGCTTACTGGAGGTGCTATTTCCTGGAAGAGTGCTAAGCAGACACTCATAGCTACTTCCACCATGGCAGCGGAGTTTATAGCGTGTTATTAGGCATCAAATCATGGAATATGGCTACGTAATTTTGTCATTGGGCTGCGTATTGTGGACAATATAGAAAGACTACTTAAAATATTTTGTGACAATAAATCAGCAGTGTTGTATTCCAACAACAACAGGAGCTCGACAAAGTCAAAACACATAGAGATCAAGTTCCTTGCTGTTAAAGAAAGAGTTCAGAGTGGACAGGTGTCAATAGAGCATATTGGGACAAACTCCATGGTTGCGGATCCACTTACTAAGGGATTGATACCCAAGATCTTTCATGAGCACACTGTGCATATGGGTGTAATGTCTCTTGAGGATATCTAGTTTCAATGGGAGTTTGTATTTTTTGCTTTTCATATTGGACACATGTACTGTTATTTTGGATACGGTTTAAAATCAAAGTTATTTTCAGTTATAAAGTTATTTGGTTAATTATCTCTGAACTTGTTTAAAATGATCTCACTAAGGTATTAAGGTGGATCAGTTGGAAATAGGCATGTTACAGATCACATTACATGTAATTTTCATGCTACACATCCATGCTTGATCCATGTCATTCGGTTATATTGATATACGTGACCATTGATGGGTTTAGCTACGTGAAAGTAGCGAAAGTCGCTTTGATCCTATGTTGATATGATTGATGGACGTGATTGTTTGGGGATACATTCGGTAATGATAACAAAATTTTGAGTACTCATAAGGTTATGTTTAATAGACAATTATAAGGTGACACATATAGCCCAAGTGGGAGATTGTAAGGATTTTTAACTAAAGATGAGCTTGTATGTGTAAATAATTGTGTGTTAAATTATAGGCTATCGAATTCGGTTGAGCCCAATTAAAGTGATCTAATAAGGTTTCGATTTTGGAATTTAATGTATCCAATTAAAGTATGTGTTTACATATGTGTAGAGACTGAGTTCAAGTCCTAATTTTATGATGGACCGAATTAAGTCCCTATATAAATAGGTTATGGTCCCCAGATCACACGCACGTATTATTCATTCTCTACTGCATCCCATTATAGAGCGTAAAAGGAGACTGCGTGTAGATTTGGAAGATTATACCGCGAAATTCATATTGTATTAACCATGTCTGATTCAGGTACGCTTCTGCTTTAATTCTTGTATTTCTTGATGATTTAACATGAAAGATTCGGTAATTTAAAACACAAAATTATACAACATATTATTCTTCCGCGATTCATTAACCATTGTTATACGCCCGGAAAAAGATTGAACGACTTTTAAACAGAAGGGTACTTGTATTCGAAATCGACACAATGGGGAGGTGGAGAATACCTATGAGCGCGAGACAACACTTTTTAAGGAACTAGTCAAATCAGGATGTTTGATTGTACTCAAAGAAAGACGAGTTGATAGATAGAGTGAAATTGTGGACATATGCATGTGGTGTGAATGACAAGTCCAGTCCACATGTGCCATCTGACTGACTTTGTGATCAAAACTCTTAAAAGCAGCAAGCTGGAGACAGCTCAAACCATAACAACCCACATGAAGATTACTATTCTTTTTTCAAAAAAGCTGTGGCATTTCATTCCTGCCCCTAAATTAAAGATGACTCCCTTCCTAGCTTTGATTCATTATCATCATCAAATCGTCAAGTCGATTTATCACCAATTCGCATTAACACGATCCAAAGAGTCTATCACAAAGCGGATTGCTTGCCCATTCGCCTTCAGGTGTGATTCAAAGAAGCCATGGTAATGCGAATAAAAGTATTGATTTATATCCACAATTATTGACATATAAATTGAAAAAGAAGGTAGAGATAAAGAGAGAGTTGGCAGACAGATAGGATTGGATTGCTGTACAACTAACCTGCCTTTGTCCATTGCATAGTTTAGTATTTATAATAAACATGATAACGAGAATGGTTCTAATTTGTTATAAGTATTTTATACATAATTATCGGATCAAAGTATTGAGTCAATGGGTCACTAGTCTAACTAGCTCGTCGTAATTATAAATTTCAATAAATTATTGAAGTAAAATAAATTATTATATTGCATTTTTAAATAACGTTATATAATACATATCATACTTTCATCCCCTCCCTAAATGAAATGAAATATTAAATAGTATATTTTTAATTTAGAAAAATTATTTGATTCCTCCATTTTTTGTTTCTTGTTAAAAGTATATTATTTGCTCATTGATCGATCCGGTACAAAATTCGATTTTCATTGCGATGCTCTCTTAGGAGAAATTATTTTTTGCGTTAAATCGATTGCAATTTCTACAAAAACTCACCTTGACCGCCTCACTCGTTTTCTATTTTCGGTTGGATCGATCCATCCAAATTTATTAAATAAATATGACTTATATGTGAATGAATAATTTATCTAATTTCCCTTTTGACACTGATATAATATAATTTAATCTATAGTAAGAAGAAAGGGTAATATTTTCCTATGTAGACACTAAGTGGTCCCATTCATTATGAACATTTGTACGTTGATAAATCAATACCAAATGGCGATTGACAAAACATAATAATCATAATCATAAGTTGATTATATTGTTATTGCAATTTTTATTTTATACACTACATTTTAATTGCAGTTAATCTTATCAATCTTTATACATTATAGCAATTAATTCTTAACTTTTTCTTTCGAATTTTTCTCTTCAACATTTCATTAATCAGTACATATCGTCCTTAATGATGATTTATGTCAAAATATTTTAGTTTCATGCTTTGAAACGATGGAAAAATATTTTCTGTACTTTTGGACGTACATATATTATTAAAGCCTTGTTTGATGGGGGATTTAAATAAGATTTTTAGTAGACTTTAATAAAAGTTGATTAAATGTGTGATTGAAAAGTTGTGGAACCCATAAAATATGTGATTAAAATTAATTACTAACTTTGATTTAAATTAAAATCTAAATTTTAATTTCTACCTAACAAGGGCTAAATACAAAATCTATTAACTAATAAAAAGTTTAATAATAAGAATGACATGGAAAATTAGTTAGGGACCTAAGTGCTATAATGAGGAAAGATTAGGAAACCTAAGTGTAATTAAAATGTGGTGCGAAAAATAAAATTGTGGTGTGAATATAATTACCCTAATCATAATCATAATATATTAGATATAACATCAATTCTTTTTTTTTTTTTAATGATTTTAGTCAAAATATAATTCAATTATTTTAGTAATATTTTACTTTTCTTTTTCAATACGTGTTTAATTTATTTAATAATTTAAATAATATTATCGTGAATTATTTTATCATCTATTTAGTTATCATAAATATATACATTTGACAGATTCATCTAACTTGATTGGATAGTAAATAATTCAATTATTTTAATAATATATTATTTTTTGTTTTTCAATATGTATTTTTTTAGTCATTTGAACAATATTATCATGAATTATTTTGTTGACTATTTAGTTATCATCAATGTACATTTGGGAGATTGATTTTGCTTGATCGGATAATATATTAAATTCAATTTTTTATTATTTATATATATATTTTTAACAAAAGATGGTCCTCTGAGAGTTTCAATTAATGTAAAGATGCAAGGAAGGTAAATGGGGGGAAATAATGCATATCTATAATAATTAATTCCAATTGATATGTTCAATGCATATTAAGTGAAGACGAAGACAAGTGTAATATACGTTGCATGTTAAGTTCAAATCAAAAGGGTAAATGGAGGGACGATTCTAATTAATTTCCTCAACTATTTAAATTGTTTTCACAAATTGGTTGTTGATTTTCTACTTCCTCTTATGGGAGACTTATCTAGATTGTAGGGTCCTCGACTCTTTCTGTGGTGGTTTTATTCTTCAGCCTCATCAGCATTCTAAATTGGATGCTTCTTGGATTATGACATTGAACAAAGGATTTCTCATAGGATTCTATATCCACAGAATTGATTTTCTACCATGGTCGGTAGGATAATAATTGTTCATCGTTGATGTGGTGTTGCCACATTAACGATCAAGCCATATTTTTTTTCGACATTTCAAAAGAAAATAAGATTTGCCCCTTTGAGTGGCATCGCCACGTCACCTAGTGCGCAATATAAGTGGGTAGGAGTTCATTTCTATCTACATCCAATTGGTTATTTTCTATCGTCACATCTTTCGACATCATTTAATGTCTAGAGACACAATGCTGAAGGTGAGGGTACAATAGTAAAGATATGTGAGAGAGTTCATGAAATCAGGATGTTTGATCGTACTTAAAAGAAAGATGAGCTGATAGATAGAGCAACAATGTGGAGGACATATGCATGTGGTGTGAATTACAAGTCCAGTCTGTACAAATAGGAGAAGATTCTGAATGACTTAGTGTACAAAACTCTTAAAAGCTGCAAGTTGGAGACAGCTCAAACCATCACAACCCACATGAAGATTACTATTCCTTTTTCAAGGACTGGTCCTGAAATGTTACTTGTTTTCACTTGTAACAGGATCGAATACTCCACACTAAAGATTATATTGTTCAGTGATATCGAGTACTGTACACCAGAAATTCTATCCGAAGAACATAGTTAATCGTGGAGAAAATTGTAGATGGTCATGCTATATATATAATCGGGGTTAACAACCTTGGTAGACAACCACACACATGGTCGGGGATCCACGATGAATAAAAAAATCGTGAGCCCCCCTCCCATGAGAAGATTGTTAATCGGGGTTGTCAATTCTGATTGTACAACTAGCAAAATTCTTATTATTATTATAACCACAGTGGACATATAAATTGAAAAAATGGTTGGTAATGAGATAAGGAAGAGTTGTTAAACAGATAGGATTGGATTGCTGTTCAACTAACCTAACTTTGTCTATTGCATAGTTTAGTATGTATAACATACATAAGGAGAATGAATGTTTCTATCTAATCAAAGTTTTCTAACTTGTTATAAGCATTTTATTCATAACTATCGGATCAATGACCTGATCAAAGTAATGAGTCAATGAATCACTACTCTAACTAGCTCATCGTAATTATAAATTTAAATAATTTATTATATTCTATTTTTCAAAGTTAAATGTAAAAATATTAAATAGTTTATTTTTAATTTAGAAAAAAATATACGATTCTTCCATCTTTTCTTGTTAAAAGTATATTATTTGCTCACTGATCGATCCTAGACAAAATTCGATTTCCACTGCAATGCAATTATGCAATGCTCTCTTAGGAAATATTATTTTTTGCATTGAGTCGATTTCAATTTCTACCAAAAATCATCTAGCACACCTCTTGGACCGACCGACCCAAATTTCGTAATAAATATGACTTTCTATGGGAATGAATTTCTCTAATCTATCTAGGAATATGATGGTTGTACACCGAGCTTGACGTACAGTTTCCTCACAAAAGAGGGGGGCCCGCATCCAATAAGAAAATTGCCGACGGCCCGTTGTGAGGGGGCTGTATACGAGTAGCAAAACCCATCTATCTAATCTAATGTAATATAATCTATATAGTAAGAAGAAATAGTAATATTCTTTTTTTTTTTTTTGATATCCAGGCATCTACCTTATAGTGACTAAATCCTGGAGTTTACACCTTGGCCTCTCAAACTGCAGATAGGTTAAATCGCAGGTTGTGCCCCAAACTGACTAGTGCTTAAGAGCCCCCCAACTGATCTGTCAAAGTGTCAATCAAATCGTTTTCCATCTTTGCACCTTACCTTCCAGTAGAGCTCCTGCCTTCCAGGATAAATCCTACATTCTATGAGAATATCTGCCTTTCAAGAATCTTCCAGGAATCGAACTCACAACCTCTGATCTGACAGCCTTGAAGCGCCCTCATCTTTGCCAGTTAGGATATGCCCTGGGGGGCGAAATGGTAATATTCTTTTGTTTAGACACTGAGAGGTCCCATTCATTATGAATATTTGTAATTGTACGTTGATAAATCAATACCAAACGGCGATTGACAAAACACCATAATCATGTTATATGCACCACAACTAAGCTAAACTAAACCAATAAGCCCTATGCTCATAGTTAGCGCGTCCGCTTCACCTTCCTATTAATCTTCCCCTTTTTCATATCACTATAATCAATTAAGCATAAATATTCTTTAAATGATGAATGATGACATTCTATCTTCGCAATTACTTAATGTGAGTTTCGAAATTCCTACAAACCTTATCAATCAATTAAACAAAGATTGTAATAAAATGATTTAGCTAGTTGATGATAAACATGTTTATGAAATATGTAAAAGTAATATTTGAATATGCATGAATGTTAATTAATTTATAATTAATATAAGAGAATATGTGCATGACAATGAATATTAATTATTTATTTAATTTTCAATTAAATAAAATTAGATGTTAATTAGTATACATGTACGTGAATAATGAAATGCATTCTTGAATGTGAGATTCTATTAACTTATAATTAGAATTAACATCACGAAGTGCATCAAAAAATATTAATATTAATTAAATGAATGCTAATGTTAATTAATTGAGAATTAATAATAGTAAATTCATACATTAATGTAAAGCGCACTGTTGAAATGAATCTATCAAATGTACATATACATTGATGGTAGCAAAATGATTACATAAATTAAATAATATTACAAACGAAAAGTAGGTATTATTGAAACAATTGAATTATAATAGAACTAGAAGCACCCAAAAAAATGTTTTATAAGTACTGTAAATGTAATATTTGAATATGCATAAATATTAATTAATATATAATTAATATCAGAAAATATATGCTCGACAAATGTTGGTTAGTCGACCCCTCCTGCTTATTGATTAGGGAGGGCACATCTCTCTTGGCTGCTAGCTAGACCCGGGTCATTTATTTAATTTTCAATTAAGTAAAACTAAATGTTAATTAGCACAAATGGATGTGAATAATGAAATGCATTTTTAGTGTGAAATTCTAATTAACTTCTAATTAAAAATAATAATACTGAAATGCATAAATGAAGATAAATATTAATTAAATGAATTTGAATGTTAACTAATTTAGAATTAATAATGGAAAATTCATACATTAATTAAATCACGCAAGGAAATGAATTTGTCAAATGTATGTAGTAATGGCAAAATAAATTAAATAATATTGGAAAACGAAAAGTACGATATTATTGAAATAATTGAATTATGGTAAGGCTAGAATTGTCCAAAAAATGATTCTCACTTAACCTAATATCTGATATATTATAGACAAATGAAACACATACATTTTTTAAGGTATAAATACAAAAATACCAATAAGTTTGCCGGCTTTATATAGGTTCGCCTTGTATCATCTTGCTGCAAGAATTTTTTAGGAAAAAATCAGCAGTTAATGAAAATAAGCACATAAGAGCTAAAAAAAAAAAAAAAAAAAAAAAAAAAATTGTAATTGCCATTAAAAAATTATACAAATTTTATCATAGAAATCTTTCTAATGACAAGTCAAAAGAAACGAAGTATTGATGTAAAATTAACTCGTGCATTGATTCAAAAAAATAAAAAAAAAAAAAAAAGAATTACATAATTTTTTCGAAGTTCTAAAATGCATAATGCATGACAATTCGTTACCGTCGAGCAGTGGCGGACGCAGACATTTGGAATTAGTGGGACAAAATTAAATTTATTAAAAAGTTACAAAAAAATTTATGTATTCTACAAAAACACATACACATGATCACTATCATAGATTCACAAATCTCATATATATGATAAATAACAATTCTCAAAGAATCTCAAATAATCTCACATTTATGATAAATAAATTTTTTTAAAGAATTTTCAAATTAAATATCACAAATGGTAAACTAATTTCAACCCACTCTCTCAATTGTTCGGTCATTATTGGAACTCTATTTTACTAAAAAAACCCAACTATCATTATTACCCAATTCTAATTTTTGGTTCTTTGAAAAAAAGAAAAAAAGAAAAAAAAAAGACTTGAAGCTGGTGGGTCAAGTGACCCACTAGGACCTTTGTAGGTCCGCCAATGCCGTCAAGTATCAAGCATTATAGGCATATGCATGTCCATCAAAGCATATGCTTAATTATGCAATTTTAAAATTTTAATAATATTTTAAATATTCATAACTAATAAATAAATAAAATGATGAAATATTTGAACTTTATACACATTTTTTAATTTTTCAAGAAAAACATATTGCTTAAAATTATAAATACTACAATGAGTGGTAATCAATTCGTAGCTTAAAAAATCCTAAATCTTGTTTAACTTTTTATCGATTCCAATCCAATTTCCTTTTCTTAATCAAAGTCATCTTTCACATCATATGATGTAAAATTGTTTTCATTGGATTCCCTTATTTCAACTCGATAATTTCTATTATATCTTGTAGAGGGTAATATATCATTTTCAACCTTCTTCTCCTCGTGATCAAAACCATTAACAATTCAATATTATTCATGACTAAAATCACTTACTAGTAAAACTAGAGAAAGATCGAAGAAGGAGACTTGAGCTCGGCATAGTTAATTTGCAACTCTACGAAAAATTTCTTTTGATTTTTTTAAACGTTAAAATCTTATAGATTACTATATATAATTCATAGATTTGGATAATTTAGGCTAATTTGATATTTGTTGGGCTCAATTTGCTTCTTTTAAGTTATAAAGATGGGCTGGACTTTCCAATTTTGACACAATTTTTTTTTTAATACAAATGCATGCTCATTTTGATGTTTAAGAGTGTATATCTGGTCAAAAAAATGGTTCGACCGCATTATCACACTCATATTCCATATGAAAGGCTTTCCAAAAAAATGTCGAATATATGCGAGCATTTTAGAACACTAATTTTTCATAAGATAATAATAAATTGGGCTTTATATCTAGGCCAACCAAGCTCTAAATCTGCCCCGAGTTAGTGCCTTTTTTGGTTAATTTAGAAAAGCGAATCGAGATGGATTATTTATAACTACTGACTCTTGTTTGGTGGTGATTATAATCAAAAGTTGATAAAAAATATTTGATTGAAAAATTATGAATTTCATGCAATATATGGTTAAAATTAATTATTGACTTTGATTTAGATTAAAATATAAATTTTAATAAAATATGGCATAATTATCTCCTTGTCTTTTTATTTATTTATTTTTTGGCTTTTAATTAAAAAATGTGATATTCTTAAATTGAATGAAAGAGGAGGGAATGGTAGAAGCGCGTGAAGAAAAAGATGGATGTATATAATTCATTCATTCATCTTTTTCTACCTTTTGCTTTCTCAGTCGCCTTCCCTCTCATTTCTTCTTCTTTTTCCCTCGCAGCAGCCGCAGGGATCTCTGACCTAATTGTCCCCTCCTCCTCCTGTTCTTCTTCTTCTCCTCCTCACCTAATTGTACCTCCTCATTCAAGAGCCTCTTCAAAATCTCCAGCCGGAATAATCTTTGATCCGATCTGTATAATATAGGAAGAATTAGATTGAAGATGAACAATCCTCCAGGACAATTCGGAGACACGACTTACACTAAAGTTTTTGTTGGTGGATTGGCATGGGAGACCCAAAAGGACACCATGAAGAAATACTTCGAACAGTTTGGCGAGATCTTGGAAGCTGTTGTCATCACTGACAAAGCTACTGGAAGATCCAAGGGCTATGGATTTGTATGTCTTTGATTTAGAGTAGATCTGTTAATTAAGTTAATGTAATTTAGATCGATCGATTGATTAGTTAATTAATTGAATGAGGGTTGTCATTTCTTCACTTGTGAAATATATAGGTAACTTTTCGTGAAGCCGAATCAGCGATGAGAGCTTGCGTTGATGCTAGTCCAGTGATCGATGGAAGGAGAGCTAATTGTAATCTGGCTTCCATGGGTGTTCAAAGATCCAAGCCTTCCACACCAAAGCAAGGTCAGTATATATTTTATGATATTACTTTTTACTAATCATATGTTTAGCTCTAAAAAGTTACTTATAAGTAAACTAATTCATGTATTCACTAGATCAGATCAAGATTGATAGCTGATCTGATCTGCTAAGCAAGCTCATTAACATCTGGAGTATTTTACTCTTTACGGAAATTATCCAATTCATCAATGAATCAGTACGAGACGAGTACAGTCGAGTCGAGTCGAGTCCACTTAAGAATAATAATTGCTTTACAGCCACAAGTAGACAGCTCATTATGATGTGTGTGTTACACACACTTTTGCCTTTTTACTGTTTTGTGTGTGTATTTAAAAAATTAACACAATCTTTTTGACAGGAGCAGGAGGAGGAGGAAGGAATATGAGAATGATGGGGGCATTTCAAGGTGGAGGGTTTCAAGCAACAACTTTTCCACATTATGCCATCCAACAAGGAATTCCTTACAATGTTTATGGGTAATGTCTTTCTTCCTAAGGCTGCATTTGCACGTGCATTGCCCACACTCCGAACTCTTTAAACTAGGGTTTCTGTTCACGCATGCGGGCCTCTCTCTCTCTCTGCGCATGAAAAATATCAGAATGACACCTTCTTTCTATCATTATGCTTCCTCTCTTTCTCTCTCTTACCCACACATACTCAGTGACTGCATAATTACAACTAACTGTGCACAGATACAAGGCAGTAAAGAACCATTACTACGAATAAATAATGTTTCAAAAAGTGGTTCGAGTATAAACCCTGAAGAGGTAAAAGCCTCAAGAATCAATGCTGAAAAAACAAGAATTGGAGGTGACTGTCTGATTAATATGAATCCAATTGATCTAACTTTCCCATCTTTTGAATGAAATAACAAATACATGTAGCAGAAACTCACATTCTCATATCATTATACTCTCTCTCTTCATGAACAAGAACAACTCACAGTCATATGCAAACAAAAAATTAAGCTAAGTTCTTATCTGTCTTCACGTTTACATGAAATGATGGAATTAAAGCAATAGGGCATGAATTCTAATTTGGCATATAACGAATAATACTATTCTAAATTCTAATTTTCTCTCTTTTTTTGGCAAAACGTCAGGTACCCTCCGTACTCGGCTGAATATGCATATCCTACGGTTTGTCAAAGCTCTCCTTTAATTTCTTTTGAGGAAAATTTGAATTAAAATCATGCTGAAGTAGTCATTTATGCCATATATCGAAACTGAAAACCCTAAGATTTTGAGAAGACTTTAAAAACGTTTGTAGTTTACTTCAATGACACGCAAGTTAGTATCCAAAATGGAATTTCGGCTTAGCTTATAAGTAAATCAAATTTATAAATTAGTTTCGAAAGAAAAATATGTTTATGTTTATTAGCAACTTTTCTTTCTTACTCATAAATGAAAGATTACTTTTTAGGCAGCAAAGTAAGAGCATATTCAAAAGATTTTTTTATTCATAAAAGAGTATCTTATGTATTGTAGAGAGTCAATAATTTTATTTACTCCAACAATATTCTCTATTTTGACCTTTTATTTTGCTCTTCTTTGAAAAGCATTTATTGATTTCTCCTCTTATTTTAATTAAACATAATGTTTTGTATGCCAATGACCAATTAATTTAAATGTGATCTATATAGTTTAAGAAATAGAGTATTAAAATTTGTGACTTATTAAATGCAATCATTGTATATTAATAATAGAGAGTAAGTTTGAATCTTTAAATTTGGAGAGCCAAATGGGCTCTTTATTTTAAAAAGTTAAAATAAAGAGTTTTTGGAGCTTATTTTTAAACATTAGCTTTTTAAAATAAAGAGTATTAGTAGTTAGAAAGTCTCTCTGGAGATGCTTTAATGCTAGTGTTAAAATGAGCAGCTTATTATTCCAACTTACCACTAAAATGGCTAACATATCAGTTCAGCAAAACCGGAAGCACATAAATTGTTTGAATATTAGAGATATGATCCTTTATGTGAAAATGTCAGTTACAAATCAAAGAAATGAAAAAAGAAGCATATGTGTATGATCAGCTCTAACTGCTAATTCATTTGATGAATCGACGCACAGGATAATTGTTTTAACATTTATCCTGACTCCTAAAATGCCAATATAAGATCCTTTTGGTTGAAATGCTTGGCTGTGCTAGTTATTTTGCTAACAAGAATTTCGGAATTACTTTTTTACTAAGAGAATGTACTTTATTATGAAATGATTCAAAACTTACTTTTCGGAAAAGTGACTTTAAACAGAGTCAAACTTCTCCAGTTATTGTGTATGTCCACTCATTTCTTTTGTTTCTTCCTTTGTTAGGAGAAATGTCTTTTAAGATCATTATCGAAATTTATTCTAATGTAACTTAAATGGAATGTATAACAGACAGTAATATACCTTAATGCTAGCATTAATGAGGGGAATGCAATAGGTTCACAATTTTTTTCCCTTTGTTTAGAGCTACTATGGTTTGTATGGAGGATCCACTGGTCAGTATCCTATGTATGGAGGAGGAGCTGGAGGAATGTTATCGGCTGCTGCGACTTCCTATTATCCTTATCTGAACCTCGGAGAGGGAAGCGGTGGAGGAGCAACAAGCGGCTACTCAACTACTCAAGGTTACGGTTTTCAGTATCCAAACCACCTCCTTCACTACTCAGCAATCAACTCGACCGGGGTTTATCCACAGCATTATGGTACCCCAATGTCCCTTGCGCCTGCTACTCCGTTGCAATCAGGTTTGTACATATATATAGCCCCTCCTTAGTACTGATTAAAATCTGGATTTTAATCTAAGTCATTTTAATTTAAGTCAAAGTCAAAATTTCATTTAAACCACATTTTTTTTTATGTATTTTACAACTTTTCAACCACACGTTTTATCAACTTCCATCAACCACACATTTCAATCACTAGCATCTTATTAGTTTCTACACCATAGATATACTAGTTAATTTTTAAATAAGAGTAACATAGTATCTTCACAAATCGATTAGTCTTCTAAATTTCTTGTGGAGGAAGTACTAATATCTTTGACAGTTTGTTTTGCTGTTCCACAGGCGTGAACATGGCTTTGCCCGCACCAATTCCTCATCGTTAATGAAGAAATTCATGTTGGTGATCAATCAAGAGAGACACATTCCCATCTACTTCATCAGAAGCTTCTGAAATGCCTTTAGCCTAACCATGGTTCTGTTTCTCTTTCTCCCCCTCGTGGAAGCCGATGCGCGTGGCATTCGGGCATTACCACACATGGATGCCCCCCATAGGGGCTCAATCAAAATTCGGTCTCTTGGTGGGAAAGGTTCCTACAAGAGAACCAAAGCTTGCATTTGCATCTCATTCCCAACTCATCAAGCCATGTGAAGGGCTGATAAGTTGGTTAAAATATGTCTTAGTTTAGCCTTGGAGAGGCTAAGGCTAAGCAATATGTACATCCATTCTGAAAATTAAGCCGCTGGAAGGCTAACCAAAACATCCTTTAAATCAACTTTGTTGAGTATTGTAAATTTGAAAACGCTCAAAATCTTAGACTTTCAAATTACTAATCCCTCCAATATTTTCTAAGCATAGCTATACAAACTTGAATATGTAGTGGCAGATTAGGGAAAATGGGGCATTGGACGCCTCAAGTTTTTGTTCGCATAAGGATTTTAAAACTCTTTTTTTACCAATGTTACATTTTCTTCGAAAAAACAGATCATCTCTCCTTAGGGTAAGGGTGATGGTACTGACTGACTCTTTGCTGTTTTTCTTCTTTGTATATTCGTTGAAGGGCTAAACTTTTGGAGTTGTTGCCCCTGCTGTAACTTACACCAAGACTAGATTAGGAGGGATAGTTTTGAAAAAAAGAGGACAATTGCATTGCACCCACATTGCGACAAAAATGAAAAAAGTTTATGTCCATTTACACTACGATCGAAAGTTTTGGATAAAAACACGTAGTTTGAGCAAAGTTTTGAACCATTTGCATCAGTTTCACTTATAAATTCATAGAACATCGCATCAATCTCCATTACCCACTGACAAAGTACTAATTCAGCGTACAAATTTTTTAAACTCATTTTTTCAAAATTAACTTGTAACTAAACATACTTTTAGCATCTGTTTGAGCCTTTTTTTTCTTCCTTTTTTTTTTCATTATTTTTTTTATAGTATTCATTTTCACTCAAACATTCTTCATTTAAATAATATTACATGCAAATAAAAAAAAATCTTCATTTTTTAACCATACATTTTACATAAATTTACTATCGACCGAGCTCTATGTACAGGAGCTCGGTTCACAGGGACTGTACAGGCCCCCTCACTGTAGGGGGTCTGATCCAACAGCAATTAAAAAAAAAAAAAGGTGGGGCCTGCCCCCACCTCCTCTCTCACCTAGTAGGGGCCTATGAAGCAGGCCCCAATACTTCCATCCTTTTCCTTCCATAATATCGTCACGGTAGATGCCAATAATGGGAGAAAGCATTGATGCGTAAAAACTTTATATAATTAAGTTAAGAAACAAAAAATACAAGAAGAAAAAAATTTCAAAATAAAAATAATTAATCCTATGATTGAATTTCCTTTTAAATTGCTAAGCCTTCGCTTGGTAGCGATTTTTTACCCCAAAAAATTGATTTGTTGACCGTTATTTCATTATTCTGGTCGTCATTTTTGATTTCTTTACTCACAGGTAGAACCTAAAAATTCAACTTTGATAATCACTACCGAACACGCCCTAAATAAATTAGTAGAAATAAATGGTGAATGAATGGATAATAATTTGTGGATTCCTACAATTGCTATATATATACATATATATATGCACACACACACACATTTTTTATTTTTTGAGAAAAATGATTTTTGAAATAGTAATTTTTTTTAATAATGAGTGATTAAAAAATAGAATAAAGGTTTCAGGTTGTGTATAAATATTTTATTATGTGAATGTATAGTTGAAAATGATTAAAAAAAAAAAAAGGAGTTTTGATTTAGTGGATGCCAAAAAGGGCCCAAAATATTTAGTTAAAATTTAAAACTTTGAAAAGTAAACTAAAATGAAAACCCAAACAAAAGCTCACTTGTCCTTTTCACATAAATAAAAGCCCCACGGTCCCACCTTGACCCACTGCAAGCTGGAGACCGACCGCCAGCCAGCACTGGTTGGCAACAAATCATATTAAATGGTTTTTGCCTATCAACCGCACAACCAACAGACTCAATTAAATCGAGATTTTACTCTACTCAAATGAGACGGATTAGTCATAATCCAAACCAGCTCAGAAAAGGAGTTTGTGTTTTAAAAAACGCATCCAGTTGCAAGGTGCAGATGACAACAAGCACGAAATTAAACAATCAATTGCCAAGTTGAAAGTGGCGGATCCAACTTTGAATTTGGATACAGACTACAATACAAATATACATGGATTTATCATTTTAAAAAAAATTAAGAATAAAGTAGACATTTTCAATGGTGGACAGCCCGTGCTTGTATCCGTCCCTACAAGTTGACCGCTTAAGGCGTTTATAGGAGCGCTTTATTAAAATTTTCCCCCTATTTTTAAAAGCCTTTAGTTTTAAGTTTTTCCTTTGAAAATTGTACAATTGACTAATTATAAGAATTATTAAGTAAATATAATATTTTATATTTTTTAATGTTTAATATGAATTATTTTAATTTTTAAAATGATTAAAAATTTAAAGTAATATTAAAAATAAGAAAACGTGTTTTCACTACTAAATCTTGCCTAGACTCGTAAAGCTTAAAATTTGACTATTATACCTAATTACACTTTAAATTTTTTAGAACACTGAGGGAAGCAACCTTCAACAAGTTACAATTGAACCGATTTGGCATACATAATATAAAAAAGAAGAAAAAAATGCATAATGTTGCGTAAGTTTGGTGGAACATCATCAACTATATGAATGTACAGGCCACGGCTCCCTTTTCCTTTGTATGACACCAATAATCTACAATACTGTGCACCATTATTTCAAATATCACTGAGAATCACCAACTAATTTTCAAATTTCCCTAATCGACAATAAAGTCAATTCAGCAACAAGCTTGCAAGCAAGCTAACTCGATCCAAACGTTTCAATTCAATGCTAAAACAAGTCGAATAATAACCAAGATATCAGTCACACTGGGACTGTGACACGGCCTAGACTCCTACGGGAGGCAGCAATGGGGAATTTTTCGCAATGGGCGAAAGCCTGATTTATATTTGATATCCTTTTCAAACAGGGCCGGCCCTGACCCAAGGCTAACTAGGCAACCGCCTAGGGCCTCTGATTTTTTGGGGCCTCCGATTTTCTAGCCTCTGTTTCTGGTAATTAATTTTGTTCATTTTGATGGTGAGGTGGTATGATGAGTATTGGAGTTCTTTGTGTGGAAGTGGGATTAGCAAGTAGCACATTATGTTCATAGAGAAGAGCATAGAGTCGAGAGGCTGTTAGTTGTGTAGACGGCTGGAAGAGGGAGGGCAGTCACCGAATGCCATTGTTGCAACAAGAATTGGAGGCTAAAGATGTTGAAGACAAGCCATTGTTGGGCCTAAAAAAGAATTTTTTTTTTTTTTTGGACTTCTTTTTTGTTTTTTTTTTTTAAATATTCCCATGATTTATAAATATTATTCATAGCCCGTATAGGCTAATATCTCTTAAGAATTGCATCCGGTTATGACAACCTCATTAATTTTGTTCTTACTAATGATTTATGACAACTTCATTAATTTTGTTTTGTTTTTGTGTTGTGTGGTGTGGATGTATACTGAGCATCTACGTGCTTTTAGGCTTATTAATTCTATCTCTAGATCTGTGTATTTGTAGGTTGTAATTGTGCAAATTTGACAACTTTTGATTTCTGTGTATTTGTCGTGTGTGTCTTTCTTCTTCTTCTACCTTCTTTTTTCTTTCTTTCTTTATATTTTTTTCTCCTTTTTTGTGTTTTGAATTAAACACAACCTAGTTCATAAATGGTTTAATTTATGTTTAACATGTTATTTATGTTTAATTTTCATAAACATCCTCCATACTTTGACATCTCCTTTTAGAGTTGTAGATTCGTTCACTCTATTGGGTGACCTTTTTGGTGAATGATAAAGAGACCAATGTTTTACATTCCAGCGATAAAAAATTGGATTAAGAACTTACGAAGTTAAAATTTTAGCAAACTAACTGTGGTGAGTAAATTTTCATGGAGAAGTTATTAAAATTCCATCTATACTTTACTTTTTTAGCAAACTAACACCCTATGTATCCATTTTTAAGTAGTGGTCCTTTTGTAAAAAAATTATTTTTAACAGGATATTCATTTTTAAAGTAGTACTACGTTCATAAAAAATTATGCTCAAAGGCCTCATAATAACTGGTTGCTTGCGGCCTCACAATTCTCAGGGCCGGCCCTGTTTTCAAATATACAAAATTGGAAAAAGTTTATAAAGAACCTTTGTCATTGGAAGGTAAACGAAAAGTGTGCTCAGAAAGTGATGCAGGGCGAATTAAAAAATAGAAAGAAAAAGCAAGAAAGGTGGGAGAATCGGAGAGAATGGGGGAAGAAACCGGAGAAGAAGCAGAAATTCATGGGGAGAGGGAGAGGAAGGAGAAGCCATTGACAACAAACCACTAAAATATTCTTCAATTCATCAAAACTAATGAAATTATATTGCAATTATGTTTAAATAGTAAAGACTAAAACCTTAAGTAGAATGGACTTGGGCCAACACAAGCCCAATTACATAAATAAAATTTAAAACATAAATAAAGTCCAAGTAAAAATAAATAAAAAGTAGATGTCCTCATCAACTCTTCCGGGTGGGAGAAAAACTCAACCCTGTCGAGTTGATAGATAGTATAGACTACAGTCAATCTGATACTCCAAATGCGTCAAGTCAAGCCATGGGGGACAATCTTTCTGACGAACCAAGTAATCCATGATTGATAGTACTGAAAACTATAGCTTATTCCCAAGAATATGATCTGACCAAGGGGGTGATCTTTCCTTCTAACCAAGTACTGATACTGGACTCCAAATAACCAATACTCATGCACCTCATCTTCAAGATTTTCACATGATTGTATACAATGAGAAGCATAAGAAGCATGCCGATCTACCCAACAAACAAAGAAGTACTGAATCTTGCCATCATTGGTCAATACAACACGTTCATCTAAAATAACATCAATTTTATCTTTGTGTGCTATGATAGATGATATTGAAGTAGAAATATCAACATAGTCAAGTTGGAGGTCCATAAAGCCAAGTAGAAATAGATCATCAAAGGAAGTAACATGGTGTTTGTAAGTAATGAAGTCCTCAATATTTAAAACATAGTGGTAGCCAAAATGTGATGAAAGGGCAATGACATGTGCATTTGAACCAACATGCTTTAAAATTTTTAAAGGACCAGTACTACAGGCTTGCAATATAACATAATTCCCAATATTAAATTCAAAAATTCTCTTATGCAAATCAACTTGAAGTTTATATAATGCATTACTTGCTTCAAATTGTTTATTGATCTCAATATGCAAGTCATGAAGATGACATACAAATACCTCAGCTGACGCAGACATACTAGTATGTGGGGACAGTGGAATAAGGTCTAAAGGTTTCCTAGACTTATAACCATGAATAACTTTGATGGAATTTGTACCGATAAACGGATGTACAAAATTGTTATATGCAATTTGAATTGTTGGGAGGATCAAATCCCAATTCTCAAGATTTTCCTTGAAAAAGACATGATTACACAAATCATCCATACCTTTAAGTTGGAAAAGAGTATGACACACAACATTCAACTGAGAGATATCGGGAACAAGGGGTACAACCCCTAGATTCATAGAAAAAGTCTTGATACTACAGAAGGAAGTGTCCTCAATATCATTCAAGTCATCACATTCTTCAAATTTAGATTCATAGATTTGATCTTTTAACAACTCTTCTATTACATACTTTCGTTCTTCTATGACTAAGGCTCGGTTAGGACATTTGGAAGAGATATGACCAAAGTCCTTACAGCTGATGCATAGCAGGTGAGATGAAGTCCCTGGAGTTTCAAAAATTTTACCCTTATTTTCCAAGATTTGAGGAACATTAGACGAGGGAGGTCCTAGAAAAGACTTAACAGGAGGAGGTGGAGCTAATGAGGTGGAAGAATGGTTGTCAATACGCATTCTATAAGGAGAAAAGGGCCTTGGACTATCACGACCTTTACACTTATTTTTCCAAATGTGAGGAACACTAGACGGGAAAGGCTCTATGACAAACTCACGTTGAGGTGGCGCTAATGACATGGGAGAACGATTGTGGTCGCCCTTTTCATATGGAGTATTAATAAGTAACTCGTAGTCCCGAGCTGAAGAGTAATGCCTCAAAAGAAAAGCTCACGCCTAAGTTCATCTCTTAGACCTTGTATAAACTTACTTAAAGTTAGGGCCTCATCCTCAATGACATGACATTTCACTTGAAAATCCTCAAATTGAACAATGTACTCAATTACTAGCTGATTCTCTTGTGTAAGAGTGTTCCATTGGGTAAAAATTTCATGATCTAAGCAACCATCGAAAGTAGGAGTATCTAAGTCAATGTCTCTAAAGAAACGCTCCTTACGACGAGGAAGAAAATGAGTACCATGATGACCATGGCCTTGTTCTCACTCACTCACGAACCTGATCCCTATTCCTACGATCATGTCGAAAGTATTTTTGATCACTTTGTCTACGATGATATTGTCTATTATGAGATGCTTTAGAATTAGTGTCAGTCAAATGAGGGGTCCACTTAAAATTGCTCAACTTAGCAGCTAGGTTCTTTCTCTCCTCACGAGTAACAGTTATATCTGATTGGACAATCGATAGGCTAGTGGCAAGTTGCACTAATTGTCTAGTGAGCGCATCAAATGGGGATGGATTCATGGTCAACGCATTGGAAATAGAGACGACAAGACGACCACTACACATCTACATGCAATATAATACCAGCGAAATGACGTGTAATGATGAGATCAATGAACAATAAATATAAGCAATGAAAAATAACATCTTGAACCATTTTTTTTTAAATCTTAAATTTGGGGATTAAATAGATCCAAAGCAAACTAATGCTACTCGTACATGTAAAATAACAAAGCAAGGGTCAACACAGTAGTCGAATTCTCCAATCACGTTGATAAGTGGGGAATAATAGGGTTTTGATGAAATCACCGGATTCAGTCACGTGACTTTAGGTACATTGTTAGAATAACAACATCACAAAAATTTAATTAATGCAATTTTAAATGAAGCAGTATTGTAAATCAATGACAAATATAAATCAAGCACTCCCTGTTGTTTAGTTGCAACGGTGGTGACCACGGAAGCTTAAATCTGATGGCGATGTACTTCAGGACCCAAAGAATCAGAACTGTGCCCAATTATGATTTCCTAGTTGGCACGTCTCCAGTGTAAAATTATAATGGAATACTCTTAAGCAGTCGAGTCGCTAAATGGAACACTAATCCTCAAGAGTTTTAACAAATTGCCCCAATGCAAATAATAGGCCAAATCCAATTTAACAAATGTCCCTGGCACTCTGAACTTAGAAGAGGTCCACCGACGTGAAAAATAAAGCGAAAACTGAACTCCGAATGGTAGGTGACAACTGGCGTGGCAGTGGATTGTTGGCGATTGGCAGTGAGGGCGATTGCGAAAAGTGTGGTGACTATGGGATACCGACGGGGAAGGAGGGGTTTAGGGCTTGGTTTGATTGAGTATTGTAGATGTGGGCTGGGTTAAGTGTTGTATATAATGGGCTAGGGTTATGGGCCGAGCAAATTTGGGACTGGTTATGGGTTGGATAGTGCTGGGCCGGTTGTGATAATATGTGATAAGTGGGTTGGATTTGGTGTTTATTGGGTTGAAAAGCGAGTGGATTGGCTAAATAGATGATGAGAGATGGGTTGTTTGTTAGTGGGCTTTGGGAGTAATTTGGGCCACTAAGTAATAGCCCAAGTGTTTTAATTAAAAAAATGAATGGACTAGGTTTTAGAGATTGAATATATGGGCTGAAGGGCTAAGTGGGCTTGAATGCTAGGATTTGGGATTTGTGGAACAACACCACAATTTTTATTTTATTTTATTTATGAGCAGTAGTAGCAGCAAAAAAAAAAAAAAAACGAGAATTTTTTTTTTTTTTTTGGCGTGAAAAATCTACCAGACACGACTGGCTACTTTTGCTATATATAAAATGACCAGAAAGTCTGCTGAAGCCAGTTCATGTACCACAAGGATTGAAATTATTGTCAAATAAATGGTCTTTTTAGTCTATAAAAGATGGTCTTGTGCCCATAACCGATATTAAGTAAACATCATAGTATCATGCGGCATATTAATTTGTTCTTGACAAGCTAATTGGGGTAGAAACCACGACTTAAAAAATTAAAATGGTGGCCTTAATTTGATATCAAGATAACTTCTTGAAACAAATAGACATTTAAAGCAATGATTTGTATAACTACCACAAAAATGGCTGTATTATCCTTCGGCAACTCTTCAAATTGCATTCGAATTTTCGCACCATCCAGAACAGCTTCCTGAAACTCATGTGAAAAGTACGACTTCATTGGATACCACCATGTTCATGTATATTTATGTAAAATATTTATATAGAGAAAACTTTATTACAGCTTTTAGTACAGCAATTGTCATGTAGTAGTTATTTATCAGAAATACAGTCTGCAGCTTTTGTTTTGGGAACAAATTAGCAAGCTTGACAAGCAAGTCATCAATAGCCATTCGCAGTCTCTCCAAGTTCAGGTCAAGCTGTAAATATTGACAGTGTCCGTGATTAATAATCTAATCAACAGTCTGACGGATTGAGAACAAAGTACTTCCTAGTATCTTTAACCTGACCGTCTCCATAATCAACGTTGAGGAGAATGAGAGAAGCCGTAAACTCGGCATAGCACCTCATGACATAATGTGGATGTACATCATCTTCCCACAAAATCCGGACATTCGCTGTCCGGAGTCTGTTAAGGTGCATGTCAATTACCATCTTGAATCGTGGCCACAAAGCAATGTTGAACTGCTCCGAGAGAGATATCAAGATCTTCATATAGTTATTTGAGTATCATAATACTACCAGCCACTTGCTTTAGACCTTTCAGCAAGTTCAAATTACTGCTTTATCGTAACCAGAGGTTGACAGGTGCTACCTATAGTAACTACTACTGAACTAAACTGTTCAGAAGTTTCCAGGATATAATCATAGGGTATGCCAGTCCATCACTCAAAGTCACAACATAGAGGTTCTTTTACTAATTACAGAACACGTACCTTATCTAAGAATGAATCTAGGCATGGAATTCGGTGTTGAGACAATACCAGCTGTGCGAAAAACAAGAACAGGGGATTCAAATACTTCAACAAGAAACAGAATGTTAAATTAAACCATCATAATTACACGCATTAATTTTTCTGGAGCTTGACAGTGAATAGCCGAAAGACAACATTGCACTTTCCGTCAAAAGGCATTACTATTGAAGAGAATATGAAAAACACAATATCTAACACTTAATGAGTCTCCTTATGGTTGAAATCTCAATAGATATTCACATCAGATGCCAATTTATTAAGGAATTTTAGACAATGTGTAGAGATATACACAATGCTACTAAAATGGGAAGGTTCTCAATCGGCAGCCACCTTGAACAATTCGGGTCTGATGCTCCAAGAACTCACTTGTCAGGAACCAAACTCGTCAGTGGTCCTCTGTATCTTGTGGACCAACCAAATGATATTGAATGCTTGAAAACATTCACTAAAACAAATTTATTCCAGGCAATCTCAATCACACAAGAAATCATGACCGGGTCTTCTGAGGCAAAACATCAGATATTTGATCAGAAGAAAACTCCTATAAAAAATTAAATTCAAAATTTATGTTACAGCAATGCATGAATTAAAATAAATATTTATGGCAGCCATTCTAATGGTAGAAGTTTAGACAGCCACCTGGTGCTGGTGTTTAATGCGAATCATGAGCATCAGACCAATTGCGTCAAAACAATTTGGAAGAATGTATTGAAGTGCTCGTCAACTACGAGGAAATACACAAAAACAGCCCTTCCACTGTAGCAAAAATTGACATTGGCCTTTGACCCATTAAATGAATTAAAAAAAAAACAAATTAAGTTAAAAAAAAACTTGACAGTATTTTCCCATTTTACCCTTCAGACTGTTTGATAATTCTCTCACCGACCGAACCGATCGACCGACCGACCAGTGCAGAATCCGATCGACCGACCACCGGAGTTACACCAACGTCGCAATCAACGATCATCATCTACAGTGGAAATAAAAGAACCGGTTAGTTTTCTGATCAAAACTCCAGTTCGAATGCTTTTTTTTGTAGTATAGCATCCTTAGTAATTTTGGTTGAAATTTGATCCATGGGCATGAGTAGCTAGATTGTAGGCATGCTGGAGTGTGAAAAATGAGATTTTTTGCCATTTTTTGAAGCTCAGTGGTCGGGAATGACGGTTTCCGGCCGTTTCCTGGCCACCGGGCGTTGGCAGCGGACCAAACCGACTGTTAACAGTCTGGGCCGACTGTTAACAGTCGGGCATCTGGGCCGGTGAACCGGCCCAGATTAAATATTTAAATTTTAAATTTTTTTATAATTTTTGTAATTAATTAAATTTTTTATTTGATTAAATAGTAATTATATTATTTACTTATTTAATTTTTTTATCATTGTCAATATAATATAATAATTGAAATATTGTAAAATTAACAAAGTTGATTTTTTTTATGAAATTATCTTTAATTTATTTTTTCAAAATTTTTTTATGAAATTATCTTTAATTTTTTATTTCAAATTTATTTAATTTTTATATTTGTCTTTTATATAATTTAATAATTCAAATATTGTAAATTTAACAATGTTGATTCTATTTTTTTTATGAAATTATCTTTAATTTATTTTTTTAAATTTATTTAAATAATATCTATAGTCTAAATTTTAAAAAAAGGTAAAGTAATTATTTATTTAATTTTTATATTTTTCTTTTATATAATTTAATAATTCAAATATTGTAAATTTAAAAATGTTGATTCTATTTTTTTTATGAAATTATCTTTAAATTATTTTTTTAAATTTATTTAAATAATATGAATAGTCTAAATTTTTAAAAAAAGGTAAAGTAATTATTTATTTAATTTTTATATTTGTCTTTTATATAATTTAATAATTCAAATATTCTAAAATTAACAATTTTGTGTTGTTCCTTTTTTTTTTTATGAAATAATCTTTAATTTATTTTTTAAAATTTATTTAAATAATATAAATAGTCTTTAAATTTTTCGAAAATGTATTTAATTTGAAATTTTTTGTTTGTAAATATATTTTCCAAATAATAATTATTTTATTTAATTATTTAATTTTTATAATTTCCTTTTTTTATATAATTTAATAATTGAATACATAATATTGTTCGAAATTAACAATTTGTTTTGTTCCTTTTATTGTTCTTTTATGAAAATCGTTGATTTTTTTCAATTTATTTAAATAATATTTATATTCTTTAATTTTTTTGGACAATACATTTAATTTGATTTGTTGTTTTTTGTAAATATATTTTTCAAATGTAATATTTGTGATTGTATGGTAGTTAGAGTTCGGTTTAACAGCCGGTTGTTAGGCTGTTTTTACAGTCGGCGCCGGCTGTTGGATGTTTAACAGTCGGCTGTTTGCCGGCTGTTAAACATCCAACAGTCGGCTGTTTCAGACTGTTTCCGACTGTTTGTTAAGCTAAACCAGTTTGGCGTAGGAGAATACCGTTCTAAAAACGAAATTAAGCATGCGTAATTTAAACGTAAGTTATACATCCGTTTAATTTTTTTTGATAGGTTCTGTTAAAAAAAATCTATGTCGACATAAAATTTCTCAATTTAAACGTATACTAATTTACTTAAAACGAAATTAAACATGATTAAATGTACTTACCGATTTGAAGTAATTGATGTGAAAAAAATTTTCAGCTTCAACGTTCCAAAGTTCTTCTAGATTTTGAGGTTCAAGCAGATGAAAAGATGAGAGTTTTTTCTGTGTTGGAAGCTCGTTTTGAAGTTTTTATAAGTGGGGAAATGTTTGGTTTTCAATTATTAAGTAAAAGGGTAGTATAGTCCTTTCAACAATATATGATTTTGTAATTGTACAAAACATTTAAGGGTATCTTTGTCTTTTACCATACAAGAGGCTAATGTCATAATATTCATTATTTTGGAAGTCAAACTGAAATTTTGCTCCTTTGACCGGGTCAAAATTAAAAGTACCCCCGTCAACTACTGCCAAGGGGCCTAATAATTTCACAAACGATTCAATCATCATTAACATGAAGCAAAATATTTACATTTGTAAACACCATGAAACAGTGGTAGTATAAAAAAACTCGTGTCTTTGAAATAAAATTTAGTCAATAAGACTCAATGAAGACAGTTCAAGGTTGCAGAATCCTCAAATAGTAAACTTCCAAGAAACGGTGGATGCAGTAAGCATAACATTGATAAGCCCCCTATCCGGTTCACATATTCTAGAAGGCCCAAGAAGAGGGGTGTATTGGGTGGAGGGAAGTAGAAAACAGAATGCTGTTGAGGAAGGAAAAGTGGTAAGGAAATCAGTTAGAAAGAAAGTTATAAATAAGAGGCTAGTATGGGGGGAAAAAGGCTGACAAAGAATTTGGAGTGTTGAGTAGAGTTCTCATTTTCGGCCTTCTACAGGCTTTTGTTATATGAATTTGTGATTTCTCTTATTCATCAATCAAAAGTGGGGTTCACAATACCCAATTCATTTTATTTCCTGAATAGTGTCTTAACAAATTGGTATCAAGACAGTGGATCCTAATGGCTCAAAAGAAAGCCAAGACTAAGTTGGAAGCCTTGGAGAAAGAAATGGAGGAAGTAAGGACAAAGCTCCAGAAGTTACAAGGATTGGAGAAAGCAATGGAACTTCTTGCACAGAATGTGGCCAAACTTCTGCAATCCCAAGAAGAAACCCAAAAGGTGGTGGCGGCGTTGCCTAATTTGAAGGTAGGCGCGAATAAGAGTTTTGGAGGAAGTTCTGGCAGTGTCACAGAAGTGCTGGTTCCTGCCAGTACATTCCGAGCAAATCAAAGAGCCCCAGATAGGGGAAATTGGCTGGAAGGGCTATCTGAGGCTAGTCTCGAAAGTGACTTGGGCAAATTTGGACCGAACAGAGAAGAGAACAATTGGCGAATGACTAGGAAGCTAGAGATGCCCATCTTTAGTGGAGAAAACCCAGATGGGTGGCTATTTCGGGCAAAAAGGTACTTCGAAGTCAATGGACTGTCGGAAAAGGAAAAATTAGGTACGGTCGGGGTAAGCTTGGATGGTGAGACCTTATCATGGTTACAGTGGACCAAAGCCAGGACCCCTTTCCACAGCTGGGCGCAATTCTGAAGTCAATTGCTCTTACGCTTCTGGTCGACACAAGAGGGGAGTCTCTGTCAAAAGCTTTTGGTAGTTAAACAGGAAGGATTAGTGGCGGAATATCGGCGAACCTTTGAAACATTATCTACATCGGCGATGGGAATGACGGAGGAAGTGCTAGAAAGCACTTTTAATAACGGGCTTAAACCAGAGATCAAGGTAAAGGTCAGATTACTGAGCCCAAGTGGTTTGGGCCAACTTATGGTGGTGGCCCAAAAGGTAGAAGATAGAAATTTAGCCTTTAAAGCCATACCAGCCCAAAAACATACCAAAGAGACTGCTGCCCCAAATCAGTGGTTAGAGAAGAAGCTAGAAGCGTTCCCAACAAGAACAGTAACGGTAGGCGAGAAATTGGCCGGCCCACCCTAGGAATACACCACCAGGAAGATGTTGGACACCGATTGGCAACAATGCAGGAGGAAATACCCAAAAATGACCCTTACACTGTAGCAAAAATTGACATTGGCCTTTGACCAATTAAATGAATTAAAAAAAAAACAAATTAAGTTAAAAAGAAAACTTCATAGTATTTTCCCATTTTACCCTTCAGACTGTTTGATAATTCTCTCACCGACCGAACCGACCGACCGACCGACCGACCAGTGGAGAAATCCGACCGACCGACCACCGGAGTTACACCAACGTCGCAATCAACGATCATCATCTACAGTGGAAGTAAAAGAACCGGTTAGTTTTCTGATCAAAACTCCAGTTCGAATGCTTTTTTTCATAGTTAGCATCCTTAGTAATTTTGGTTGAAATTAGATCCATGGGCATGAGTAGATAGATTGTGGGCATGCTGGAATGTGAAAAATGAGATTTTTTGCCATTTTTTGGAGCTCAGTGGCCGGGAATGGCGGTTTCCGGCCGTTTCCCGGCCACCGGGCCATTGAACGGCCAAAAACCGACTCTTAACAGTCGAGTATCTGGGCCGGATCACCGGCCCAGATTATTTTAAATTTTAATTTTTTTTTATAATTTTTGTAATTAATTAAATTTTTTATTTGATTAAATAGTAATTATATTATTTAATTTTTTTTATCATTGTCAATATAATATAATAATTGAAATATTGTAAAATTAACAATGTTGATTATTTTTTTTATGAAATTATCTTTAATTTATTTTTTCAAAATTTTTTATTTATTTTTTAAAATTATTTTTATGAAATTATCTTTAATTTATTTTTTCAAAATTTTTTATTTATTTTTTAAAATTATTTTTATGAAATTATCTTTAGTTTTTTATTTCAATTTTATTTAATTTTTATATTTGTCTTTTATATAATTTAATAATTCAAATATTGTAAATTTAGCAATGTTGATTCTAATTTTTTATTAGATTATATTTAATTTATTTTTTTAAATTTATTTAAATAATATGAATAGTCTAAATTTTAGAAAAAGGTAAAGTAATTATTTATTTAATTTTTATATTTGTCTTTTATATAATTTAATAATTCAAATATTCTAAAATTAACAATTTTGTGTTGTTCCTTTTTTTTTTATGAAATAATCTTTAATTTATTTTTTCAAATTTATTTAAATAATATAAATAGTCTTTACATTTTTCGAAAATGTATTTAATTTGAAAT